GGACATTGCTTTCTGTGGAACTTACTGTGATAACTATAAACCAATCAGCCAATGAAGTTGCAACAAAAATAAACGGCAGCGTATTGGCTACCCCAAGCCAGTGTTATTTGATGCATAGTCAAGCTAAGTGGGAACGAATTGGAGAAGTATCTGGCAGCAGGAAAAACAGAGTACAATGGATGTCAGACACAACTAACTCTGCCAAGACACTCCCTCTGAGAAATGGGAGATTAGTCCAGAAGTCCCTGCCACAATTGCAAGGGCATCTGGATTGATTATAGCAGGAGAAACATAGGAAGGAGCAAAGTAATGTCTTTCTTGCACTCCTTTAAGTCTTGCAGAACCTCTTCTGCCTCCCATTTTGCTTTGGTACTAGTCAGCAGTGCACATTTTCACCCTGTTCAGCGATGGGGGGCAAACCCAGTGGCAGACCTAGATTTTGGGGGGCCTGAAGCTTGAACTGTCATGCGGAGTCTGAGTAACCACTGTTACCTTATCCAATGGGGTTGTTCCACATCTTTACAACCTTTGTACTACGGACTCTCAAATGTTGGAATTGTTGAAATATATACAACAACAAAATAATCATTTTTTTAAAAAAAAATCATGATTTTCCTTGTTACACAAGCACATGCATTGTCTCTTTCTTCAGGTTGTGTTTTCTACAGATCAGTTACATTTGTTGTGAGACATTATTGGTGTTATATGTAGTATAGGGTTGGGAAGAAAAAAGGGGGGAGATGGGAGAGAGGGGTGGGGTGGGGTGGTAAGGCTTATGTTCTTTTACTTAGTATATGTGTGGGGGTTTTGTATCAGCATCACTTGGGTAGGTTCTCTTTCTATGCACCTGCTATATTCCCTTGGTGGTGAGAGAGGTTGGGGTAGTCTAGGGCGGTCCACTGGGCTCGTTAATCTGGCCCACTAACATTGCGGACCCTGCTGCCTGCTCAGTCAGTCCCTGCGCTAAATCGGCGTGGCGTGGAGGCCTCGCCACGTGGGGACTGACTTCCATCATGCTGGCGTGGCTTCGGATTGGCTGCAGGAAGCTCCTGCAGCCAATCTGAAGCCGTGGACACCTCTGCGCAGGCAACGATGCTGGCGTGGCTTTGGAATGGCCGCAGGAAGCTCCTGCAGCCAATCCAAAGCCGCGGATGCCTCTGGGCAACACCCCTTCCTTCCCGCTGAGGTGGCCGCATATGGCCAAGAGCCGAGCAGGAGGAAGGGGCGGCGGCGGGGAGGCTGCCTCTGCCACCCAGGGCAGCCGCATGGGCTCTGCGCCCCACAGACCCCTGGCTGAGGCAGATGATGACAGTAATGCTGCCGAAGGCAAGGCAGCTGTGGCATGAGCGCCGGGGGGGGGTCCTTTCGGGAGAGGGTGGGTCCAGCCCCCCACAAGGTCTGAAGGACAGTGGACTGGGCCCCTCCTGAAAACATTTGCTGACCCCTGGTCTAGGGTGTGGTTGATCGTCTTTGATTGGCTGCAGTGGGATCTGTTTGTGCATGGAGGGGCTGTTGAGATAAGCTAGCCATATTGTATGCTGTCGGTGGGTTACAAAATAATCAATTTGACTCAGATCAGTGTGACTCAAATTGGGTATACTAGACCCAAAAATTTTAAGCAATGTGGACTAAAGTCACTTCTGGGGACCCCTGGGATTAGGGGCCCTACTCAACTTCATGGCTTGATCTGGGAACAGGATGCAGGCTTGACAGTTGTCCCTTCATTTCCTGCAGGCAGGGGTTTGGGCACCCTAGTGGCTGCAGTTTATTTCAGGTCCAGGTTTTGCTCCCACATCAACAGTGTTTCCCTCTGCAGGGGTTTTAAGGGGTTTTCATCTTAATAAAGTAGCCATAGTTCAACCCAGTCTCTTTATTCAGCCACGAAGCTACAAACTTCTCTCTTTGTCTCGCTCAAACTGGGAATTGGGTGATTTTCCCAGAAGCTTCTGCACCATCACTGGGGCCTCAGGGATGATTGCCCATCTCCTCGTTTGAGAGATGCCTGCAGGGATGCTTGCCACAGAGAACACTGCAATGACAGCACACTTGTGTTTCCTGCTGGGAGGTGTGTTTGGAAAAAGCAGAGCAGCACCTCTTTGGTGGGCTTTTGAGCTCTGTCAGCACTGGAGTGGCTAAAAGCAGAGCTCAGAAGTTGCTGCTGTGCTCTCCTCCCCATGAGAAATGGCTCAGAACTTTTGTGTTAACACTGGGATGGTGATACTGAGAAGAATGCCTGAAAGGTATGAAGCAGCAGCTCTTTATTATCTGCTTTCTCCATCAGAACACTGTTCCAAACCCCCCTGGAGGAGGGCGTGGGATAGAGTGTAATTTGGAGACTGATTTTTAGGCCAAGGGGGCAGGAAGACAGTATAAGGGTGCTATGAAGAGCAGCAGAGAAGAGAGAATAGAAGAATTGTGGTGATACAGAGATAGTTGTGTAAGGAAGCTGCAGTTGTAGGGTGCTGCTTAAAGCCACAGTGAGGCCTATGGATACCAATATGTGGGGTCTCAAAGACCCACATTAACCTGCTTCCAGCCCGGATCCCAGGCTGCTCTCCCCATCATACAAACCTTACTCTCTCCAGTCTTAGCCTATAGCCTAGCAGTTACTAAGAGGTCTACCACAGAGGTTATGAGAACAAGCCTCATCTGACCTCACCCATAATTAGAGCACGAAAATAAACTTCACTGAATAACACATGATTTTGGTGGTGGTTGTCTTCATTTTTCTGCAGGTAATTGGATAAAGGGTGAACAACGTGGTCATCATTTTTACTAACGAAGTTGATTGCAAAATATTTTTCACTAGCAATTTTAATCATCATGATATAGTTTTATTTTTTGGACAGGGGATCAGGTTAAGCAATTCCATGCAAATGTAACTGGTTTTTTCCTACCTGCAGTCATATAAATAGTATTTAGTCCTGAAATGTTAACAAGCACATTTGTGCCCTAAATTATTTAACCAAGTATAATGGCTCCAGATTGCATTTTTTGCTAGGCTTCTCTCAGAACCCTTACCATTTATCATACATGCGCTGTCTGTCTTTTTTCTACTCAGAAGCACAGCATGAAAAAACTTCATTTCACAGTGAAACATCACTATGTGAAACAGTGTGATGAAATGAGTCACAGAAGGAGAGTTTGTGTTATACTCCGGTAAACAGTTGGTCTACGGGAATGATAGTATTTTATGCTGTGACTGATATATCAATTGTGAGTCCTAAGATATGAATGATCTGAAAGCAGGAGTTTCACTTAGGTCAGGACTGTATGCATGAGGAAGATTACAGGTAACGTAGCAAAACCTGCTGAGAAGGTATAGCACAGGTTGGATCCAGGAGTTAATATGGTACTGCAATGGATCTTTGGAAAAAAATTATATCCGATAATATTGGTGCTGATAAGGAATCCCTTAGGGCACTGCTAGCAAATTCATATGCATGTCAATATAAAGCATGATTGAGCTTTTCTATTAACATTCTCTCTCTAAATAAAAGCTAGTTTCCAACACTTCATAAAATTCTATCATGGGGCTGTACAGATAATGGTGGGTTTGATGGAAGACAGATTTAGAGATGCCTTCTTTAATTTCCATGGTTTCCCATGGGAGAAAAGTCAAGTTTTATTCTTGGGATATTGGGGCTGTACCCAATATCATGTATTCTCTGAATTGATGGGTGGGGGAAGATGTTATTGCTAGATGTTATTTTTCTAATGTATAGAAAAATAATAAACTGATTTTAAAAAGTCACCTAAGAGATGAACACAAAACAATATAAAGCAACAGTCAATACGATGCAGAGAAAATCAACAAATATTAAAAAAAATAGTTTAATTCTACACAAGCAAGGTTGTGTGTCCGGATAGGTTTTCTGAAATAAAAAACATGTTTAGCAGGCATCTAAAATGGTATAGGGAGCTTGCCTACCTAATATTAATAAAGTTAGAAAGCATAGGTGCTGCCGCACTGGAAAATCAACTCCTAATAGATGCAGAACAAACATTATATTGGCATCTGTAAAAGTACAAGTTCTGCAGGTTGAAGCAATTGGGTAGGCATGGATGAAGCAAGTCCCAAACTGTTCTAGGCTTTGTGTACTCAGAGTACAACCTTAAACTCAGCTCAGGACTAAAACAAATTAAAGTAATATTTTAATCAAGATCAGGACAAATGTATATCCATTGGCCATTTATTATATCATAATTTTGAGCTATATTGTCAAGCTAAAACTTTGTTTTCGGTGCTTTCGGTTTTAACTTTAACTAATGGGTAATAAATACTAAAGAACACTGCAAAATTTCACAATATTACTATAACAGAGCACACCAACCTTTTGACAAAGGCAGAACAACCAGCACTGTTCTTTGCAGTTTCTAATAGGCTTACATTTTTCATAACTGAAGTATATTTTACAGTTCTGTAAGAAGACCACACAACACAATCCTCACAGGACAAAGTATGGAAAGCTGAAAGACAGTGACTTGCCCAAAGCAATACAACATGCTTCATAACCAAGAAAGGGTTTAAAACCAAGTGTCCCTCAGAGCAAAGTCAAACTTTCTGGTTATGACAGAGTCAATGTTCTTAGTTGAGCAAAGTGTAACAGTGTTGGAGATTCAGTTAAATCATCTGAATCATATCAGATTGTTGAATTAGTTTCTTATCTGATACCTATTCTCCCTGATCTCGTAAGAGCAAGCTGGAATGTGATAAATGGCAACTAGTTCACATACAGAGTAATAGTCTTCAATTCAAGGTGAAAACCTGCCACCACCCTACTGCCTGAGCATCTACACCAGAAGTTGGTCAACTCCATATTGAGTCAGCATTTGTTGGTTGGCGTGAGGGACTCATAAGCGTTTGCAGGATTCATACATTCAACTCAGGACTAAAATTCACTAAAGAGGTTTATCCTGAGATGAAATTCTCATGGCAAAATTTTGCAGTAGTGGGCAATGTGGTAGGATCACCAGATCTGTTGGTCATCTGAGTCTCTTCTGCTTACAGGGAAAGAGGTGGAGAGGAGCAAGGAAGCAAGGAAGTTGTCATAATACAAACTCATTGGCAGAGCCACTCTGGCACGCCTGCCAATGTGCTTGCACCACACTGACCTCCCTGCTACCTTGCCTCTCCCCTTCTCCTTTCCAGTAAGCAACAGTTGTCAGAAGGTCAGGTAAGTGTCACCACCCCATCACACCATTTGCTACTGCTGTGTGTATTGATGGACTCATTTGCTATGAAGTCTCCTTTGTCAAAAATGAAAACATAACACACACACAATGCATTTTTCAGTGGGTTCTCATCAGAGAATATATTCCATGGGAACTGTTATGGAAACAATACAATTTGTTAGTTTGTTATTTTTACATACTGCTCAGGCCCTAGTGCTCCCAAAGCTGTGAACAACATATTAATGCAACACAAGATGAAACAAGAAAAAACCATAAATCAGTCAGCAAAACAATGTAAGACAGCAAAGTTCACCTATACAGTGAACTGGCTGAAATATGATTCTGATTGACTAGCCTAGGTCTTTCTTACTCAACCCAGTCACCATATAGGATGATGAAACAGGAAAAATATTGTATGAATTGGGTGCATACCAGCAACTGCTTTCAAGACAGCAGTTAAAATGTGCTCTAATCCAGCAATTGCTTGTAGATTCATGGGTCCGAGACACTCATATGCAGAGACCTGCTTTCTCCATTGAATCTTCCACTAAAAAAGTTGACAGGAGCTCTGGAACAGGCCAATGCCTTATATTGCTACTTAATAAGTATTTAAATTGATCTAGATAGCAAGGTATGCTTTGCTGACATTCGCCGTGTGAAAGAGCTCGACAGTGTTCCTAACATAATGAACTGTACACAAGCCAAACCAGGAAGAAATGCTATTTATTTGAAAATAATGAATCAGATGGACATTTCTCATGTTTCCCAGCCACCCCAATTCTACAACTGCACAATATTCCCTAAGTCCACACAGTGAGAAGCGTTTCTTGCCGAGCCTCAACTGTGAAGCATTTAAGAACAAAATAATGTTGAATAAAATGGGCATTTTCTGAACCACCTGCTGCCAGCTGTGACCACCTTGCTAAAAGCTCACACCAGAAATAAGATCCTGATTTTATGAGAAGTCAGTCTGCAAAGTTTCAGTGTTCTACTCCATTGTGATTGCAAGGGAAGGGGGCAGGGTGATGTGTGGTGTGTGTGTGTGTGGGTGTGGGTGTGTAATATAGTTATATTCACATTATCCTGCTTTTGATTAAAACCATCTTGGATCCTTTTAATCATCCTGCCAGTGATACAAAATGATTTTAAGGATTTAAGGAAATGAGACAAATTGAGCCAAAAGCTTCAATCAGCTTATGCCAGGAATACATTTGACTTAAATGGAAAATGTTTGAAAACCCATTTTTTCTTCTGATTATTTTAACCCATAATTGCAGCCTTGCAAAATATGCTTTTTTCAGTAGTCTAGCTGCTGACAGTAGAATATACATGTGTGTTTTAAACCTATTTTAATTTAATAATTTGGGCATGACAAGGAGTTATTCCTGTCTTCTGCCACATGGAGCTGATCAGAAATGTGCCAGTGGAAGTTAAAAAAAAAAAAAACCTGTACTTTTTTTTTTACAAGCAAAATGATAGACACTTTATCAAGGAAATATGAATGAATGCTACCTTGTGTCAGCAAACTCTTAGATTTCTACAGTGTAATCTATGTGACACTTCCTTCCTCCTCCACCACAGAACTAGAGCTAACTTACCTGTATAGGTTAAGACTGAAATAATCTATCATTTATTTTGGCACAATAAGTTGACATACAAGGTCTGCTCACACATAGACCTTCACTAATGAATGACTTCACCCGCTGCCAAGTGGTGATTTGGGTGTGCAAATGAGCCTTTCAGGTTAAGCACAACAGTTAAGGAAAACAGTCATATCACCTCAAACAGAAAACCTTTCAGCATATTCAGTAGGCTGAACTTAGAACCAAATATACACTTTCCCATTCGGTTCAATGGCACTTATGCCAAGGTTTTTCTCTAAAGCCTATTCAAAGCATCCCAGCCAGTTGCAATCGCCTCCATCTTGTGGCAGTGCATTCTATTATTCATTGTGAAGAAGGACTTTCTCTTGTCTGTGCTGAACTTGCTGCCACTCAGTTCCTTAGAGTGATCTCGATCAATTGCAACTGAAGTATGTGTGTGGAGACAGGGAGCGCAGAGATATTTCATCCACTTTCTTCAATCCATGCATAATTTTATAAACCACAATTTTGTCTCCTCTTCCCCACCTCCCATCATTTTCTATATTAAGTAGCCCAAACCACATTGGACTATCCTTGTAAGGAAGATGCTCTCCACGCTACCTAAGGTTACTAGCAGGCAACCTGATGGAAGGGTGCAAAGATGTCTACAAGCTGTGAAGTCATCATGTGCTGAGTAACCAAGCAGTAAAACAATAGCTGGTGTCCACATATCTGTCTAATGGCAGGCTCCTGAGCTCTACCACTAGGTCATGGCTCCTCCTCAATTGTGAAGCACCACTGCGAAACACCACTTGATCACTGTTTGATATATCATATGCTATCAAAGCTGTAGGCAGCTGGCAGAGAACCAGGAGCCAGAGCCTAAAGCAGGGAGTCAGAGGCAGGGGATGCGTAGCGGCGTACCTGAGTAAGAAAGACCTTGATGCTCAGGCAAAGTCCAGCCCATACAGGAAGCATTTATAGCTCTTTCTGCCCAACATGGTCCAATGGCAAGTATGAGTGGTCAGGGCCAGTCCAGAGCTTCAGAATAATCCATTATCATGATGTTCCAAGCTCACCTCACAGGGCTGACACCCACAAAACCAAAGGTTATATCCGTTCTAGTCCCATCAGTTCCTGCCACATGGCAAATGTACAAATAAGGCAAAATAAATAAATGAAATCATCCCCCCAAAGATATATATTTTTTTCATCTTTGCAACAACGCTGTGACACAGTGCAGCAGAAGAGACTTTCGCTCGTATCCAACATTAGTGTTGCTTAGAGGAGACCCACTGGAATTAATGGGCCTAAGTTAGCCATGACTAATATTTGATACAACCCAATGACATGCACAAGTCATCCAGTGCGTAGTGCTGACATGTCCCATTCCCTACCATAGTACATTAATGGGGTTATATTCAGTGGTGTCACTCAGGTGATGGAAAGTCTTTGATCAGTAGAACTTGGAGGGGATCCATTTTTAGTGATTCCCTCTCTCTTCTGCAGCCCTCCCTCTGAATCTGCTCAAGATGATTGGGCGGGGGACCTTCCAGACCAGATTTGGAAAGGGTGTAGGGATGCTGAAGGAGGGAGTACTTATAATTAAAAATGGCGTCCATCCCTGCTCTGTTGATGGAAGACTTACCAACAGCTGAGCAACATCACTGGATGCAGCCCGCGATGAAAAAAGAAATTTGCTCCCTGGAAAGTGCACAAAAGTTAGTGGAACTTTGAGCAGCCAAACTTGCAGGGGATTTAAATAGTACTTTTGTGTTTCCTCCCCCACCGCCCACCGTAGCACACCTTTCCATGTGTGAAATGCAGTCCATCACAATAATATTTTCAATAAAATTTCTGTAAAATGATATGATAACAAGACCATGATATTTTAAATTGAATGAATTTCAAGATAGTTAAGAATTAGGCTCCCAGAGGAATGCTTTATGTCACAAGCTATGAACACTACTGTTTAATGTACACTCATGCTCCATCTGCTCCCTTTTCCATTATTCGAATCTCCTAACCAGTTTCTCATGCACACTTTTCAGCTCCATGCTGTGTTTTCTATTTATTGAATACATTTCTCACTTCAGCATTTTTCCACCTGAGCTGGCAGTTGTGGCTTTTATGGCTGTACACATGCAGGTCTCCATAGATTATGAACTTCATATTTTTTCATTTGCCTCATGCTTCAGTTCTCTAGCTTAGCAGGCCCTAAAATGTGCAAATTGAGAGGTGTTTTGAAGTAACCATTGCTATTCTAGGCCATTGACTTGTCATCAATTAGATTAAAACATTGGTTTACAAAAATAATGTTTTCTCTTTACTTCATAAAAAATAAAACACTTGCAAAAGGAAACCCAGCTGTGCTAAGAGGCAAATTACTTTATGTGAGCAAGCAAACATTTTCTGGTCAAGGCTACAATGTATTATTCAGGCCCATTTTACTACATCAGTCTTAAATTCAGGGTGTTGTTACACATTGTTACCAGTAAATTGTGGGGAGGAGGGAGTAGAAATTCAACTTGTTTTTAAATTTGATCATCTTATTCTCAAAACCAATCTCTTAAAAGTTTTAAGAGAGTGGTTTTATGAGTAAGGGAGGTCTAGCTTTAGGTTAAAACTTCAACAATAGCATAATAACTTTATGAGTACCAATTAAATATCAGAAAGAAGTGAACTACCATTAGAGTTCCACAGAACTCTTCATCCAAGCAATCCACAACAAAACCTGGAACACTAATGGTTCCAAAAGACTCATGGAGCCATTCCAAATCAGAATTGGAATCCAAAGTGCCATGGATTCCTTGGCATGCCATGGGGCTTGGGCATGGCTAGTTGGCTGGGAACACATGGACCAGAGAATCTGTTGTATAGCCATGTCAATACACATCCTATTTGTCTCATTATCCTCCCCAGTTTGGTCCCATGGCATTAGGTTCTCTAGGAAAAGAAGTACAGTGGTACCTCGAGTTAAGTACTTAATTCGTTCCGGAGGTCCATTCTTAACCTGAAACTGTTCTTAACCTGAAGCACCACTTTAGCTAATAGGGCCGCCTGCTGCTGTCGCGCCACCCGAGCATGATTTCTGTTCTCATCCAGAAGCAAAGTTCTTAACCTGAGGTACTATTTCTGGGTTAGCGGAGTCTGTAACCTGAAGGATATGTAACCTGAAGCGTATGTAACCTGAGGTACCACTGTACAATCAAACAGCAGTTGAGGGCAAGGCAAGTGGAAGCTGAAAGATGAAGAATGAGAACGGCAAGTTTCCATGGTGCAGGCACTGCAACAGCCAGCATGAACTGATAGTGCTTCCATTACCAATTGCAAGCTGTTACAGACTTTAGACCTGAATGCTATGAGCCAGTGCACAAGCCCCACAAAATCATTATATAGTGGA